AGAGAGAGAGAGAGAGAGAGAGAGAGAGAGAGAGAGAGAGAGAGAGAGAGAGAGAGAAATAGATTGAGGTCTCACAGTCTTTCTTGGGGTGTTGTGGTTCTGATGTGACGTGTTCCCCAAAGCTCCTATTAATGTGACAATGTGTGAAATGATTAGCGTATGAGAGCTTTAACCTAATTAGTCCATGGGAGTTTGAATGGACTGACTGGATAGTAACTATAGGCAGGTGGGGCATGACTGGAGGAGGTAGGTCAATGTGCCCTGGAAGGATGCATTTTCCTGTTAGATCCCCCCTCCCTTCTCTACTTCCTGAATGCCAAGAGGGCACCCTTCCCCCATAGTATGCCGTCTCATCTTGGGCCCAAAGCAATGAATTTGGCCATTTATCCACTGAAACCTCTGAAACCATGAGCCTCAGATAAACTTTCCCTCTTCTAAGTTGTTTTTGTCGGGTATTTTGGTGAAAGCATTGCAAAAGCTGACTAAAACAGAGGGCACGTCCCAGTGACCTAAAACCTCCCACCAAGCCCCACATCTTAAGAGTTTCCACCACAAAACAATGGTGCTGCTCTAGGGAAGAAGCCTTTAACACAGGATCCTCTGGATGCTACTTAAAATCAAACTACAGCAACATGTGTATTTCATGATTGAAAGTTCTTTAAGTTGAAATAATGTGGTTTTGCTAAGGAAAAGTCCAAGTCCTGTTTCCCCTACCCGCTTTTACATGAAAATGCATGAGCAATAAGAGGTAGCAGAAGGCATTACATTTTTTTTTATCCATAGCTGCACAATTCGACATCAGATTTTAAATACAAAGAATAGGAAAAAAGGATAATGGCACCAACTTTACTTCTAACCCAAATAAGGTAGGAAATTGGGTGCAGTCAATTTTTCCTCTAATCTTATGTGGGGAAAAAAGTGTGTCTCATGGCAAACCCACATGAATCCAATCTGTTTGAATTATTCATCTTTGCAGTGACATTCAGACTCCAGAAAATGTATCATAAACCTAGGCAGTATTTTACTGTCATCACATAAACTAGAAATGTGTAGGGTATGTGATTACATAAAAATTAAAAGATTCTGATTGAAACAGGGTGTTGATCATACATCTTTTCCTCTCTTCAGAAACACTTAACTATTTTCTACCATTCAATTTTTGTCCATAAAGGCATGTTTTCTTGTTTTTCTTAGTTGGTTTAGGCTGTTTCAACAATGTACCATAAAGTGAGTGATGTATGCACAATGGAAAGTTTTGTCTCATGGTCTGGAGCCTGGGTTGTTCAAGATCAAAGCACTGGCAGCATTACTATCTGGCATGGTCCTATTTCCTGGGTCATAGATGTGTCCTCATATGATGGAAAGGACAAAACAACTCTCTCCAGACTATTTTATAAGGGCACATTAATCCCATCTATAAGGATTCTGGTCTTATGACCTAAGCACCTTCCAAAGACCCCACCTCCTAACACCATCACCTTGGTGATGAAGTTTCAACAAATGAATTTGAGAACACAAACATTTAGATCTAGTATCTTCTATTCTCCATGCAATGAGAAAGAAGAAGAAAACGTACCTTAAAAATCTTTTCCTTCTCGCCCACTACATGAGAACTTAACCAACTCCCTTTACTAGTCACTATAATCTCTCAGGATCATCTTCTGATCAACTTTCTGGCTTTATCTCCTTCCACACATGCACTCTCCGCTGTAACAGATGATAGGCAGGTTCCCAAATGTACTGTGCTCCCATGACTTTGCAGTTGCCTATGTTGTTCTCTGTCTAGATCCATCCTCTAGGATCCACTCCTGTCCTCGCTCCATTTTTGTTGTCTGCCTCATGAGACTTGCTCCTTTGTAGCCTATCAAGAATTGCCTCCTTGAGGAAACCCCTCCAAGACCAAGCTAGGTGTTCCTGCATGTGCTGTTGGAGCCCTTATCACAGTGGTACTGAGATTGGATTGTTTATTATGTTTATTAGCCTGTCTCTCTTCTGGATTATACTAAGCTGGATCATACTATGACTTTCTCTTCTTTCTCACCCACCACCCCTCTATTTGGAGAGTACTAGGGATTGAACTCAGGAGTGCTCTACCACTGAGCTATGTCTTCAGCCATACACACACACACACACACACACACACACACATTTTTATATATACATATATATGTGTGTGTATATATATTTATATATTTTAAACATTTTTTTTTGAAACAGGGACTTAAAGGTTGCTGAGGTTGGCCTTGAACTTGTGATCTTCCCACCTCAGCCTATCAAGTTACTGGAATCACAGGCTTACACAACCACACTCACCAGGTTAATAAGCTTTCTAAGGGTAGGGATTTATCTTATTCCTCTTTGCATTTCTAGAATCTTATTCAGGGTTTAGTAGAAAGAACATGATTTAATGAATTAGTGGGTTTTCCACTAGTAGTTTGAATAAGATACATTTGAAAACAGAATCTGAAAAGTAAATAGGAAAAATTGGGACATCTTTACTTAATCTAACCACCATTGAAACTCTATGTACTTATTATTTTATAGAATGAACTTTCTTATAAGAGACCTGAATCATAGATTCTAAGGGCAATATCATGTTGAAATGTCTCAATGCCTTCCAAATACCGTATGCAGGATATCATGTGATGGAAACAGTAGGAGTCAAAAAGAAGAAGAGGACTTCTAGGTTTTTGGTGTACTTGGTGCTCCTTGAAAAATATTTTGTGTATCTTTTGACAATTGTTTCTGATCTTTCCAAAAGAAACTATAGATTTAAAATGTTTATTATGCAAAGAAAAGTTTATGATATTTCATTTTTAATACAAATATAACAAGTTTAGATCTTATTTATCATTTGTGGCCAAGAAAAAAAAGGCAGTTCTATGTATAGAAGGCAACAAATCTCCTCAAATCCAACAATTAGACATTGGTAGACATGAAGCCACTGGGTAAGGCAAGAGTACAATCTTCTTTTTTCTTCTTTAATAAATTTGTTTTCTGATTTTAAAATCAAGATACTTTGTTGAGGTGTAAAATGCTTTAGATATTTATTGCATATAACTTTATAAGTTTAGAGATAAGTATATACCCATGCAGCCAAGATCACGATGTCATAGATTCATCATTACCTCCAAAAGTTTCATCTTGTTCTCTTGGTCTGTTTTGGTTTTCTTGAGTTTTCCTTTTGTTGGAAAAGTAGTTAACATAATGTCTACCTTCTTAGACAGTTTGTTAAGGATTCAACTCAGTGTTTTTAACCTCATGCTATATGTTATACAGTAGCTCTCGAGAGCTTATCTTGCAAGAGTAAAACTTTCTCTCCTTTGAACAATACCTCCCTATTGACCCTTTTTCCTAGACCTGGCATCCACCATTCTACTTTCTGCTTCTATGATATTGACTATTTTAGATAATTATACATTGAAGCAAGATCATGTACTGTTTGTCTTTCTGTATCTGGCTTACTTCACTTAGCATAATGTCCTACAATATGTCTGTCCATATTAATGCAAGTGATAGGATTTTCCTTTCTTTTAAGCTAAATAATATGCCATTGTGTATACTGTATTTTCCTTGTCGATTCATCTGTGGATGAACATTTAGAATGTCTCCATATCTTGGCTACTGTGAATATGCTTCAGTGAACAAAAGAGTACAGATGTCTCATCAAGATCCAGATTTCAGTTTCTTTGGATATATACCAACAAGTGAGATTGCTAGATTGATGTATTTCTTGTTTTGAAAGTAGGGTACCTTCTGGTCATTTCTACAATTGAAGTACTTCTTATTCTTGGAAGTCAGACTATTTGACTTTCAAATAGGAAGGATAGAAAAAAACAAACAAACAACAACAACAAAAACTAGTGCCTAAAAAGAAAAATAAAGTTAGAGGGCTCAATGGTAGAGTGCTTACCTAGCATCAAGAGACCCTAAGTTCAATCAATCCCCAGCACAGGGGGGAAAAAAGTTTAAAAGGGGGATGATCACTAATGGCTACATTAATTCAAGTGTTACTGACATTCTCAATGCATTCTGAAAAAATTATTTGATTAACCACTCAAGGCAGAGAGTTTATTGACATGTCAGATTCTAACAAATTTAGTTAAAAAGAATCCCAATCTGAATTTTAAAATCACCATTGTGTACAGAATACAGTAAATTCACTGCTGATAGATTTATAACTGGTAGCTAGATATTTCTTTCCCATTTGGTTTATTGTTATTTTTTATGGGTACAAGAGAAACCTATAGGACCTGAGAGCAAAGTGCCCTTTAGCTGGAGTTTAGACAGTTGGAGGGCTGTCTTTTATTTGGGAGACCTAGTACAAAGTGGGTCAGTGAGGGCTTGGTTAGGACTTTGCAGTGGGATGGCAATCCACACTGCTCTGAGAGAGGAGCAAGGATGAAAATGTCGTCTTCACTAATTGACCGACCAAATCATTAAAAAAAACATAAAATATAATTAAAAATAGTTCCAATGTGTTATAATAACAAAATCTGATATTTTGAAGGGATCAGAAATATAACATTCTCTGGGATCTTAAATCTGGATCTTATCTTTTTCTAGACTTAGTCCCCCACCCCCATCTCTCCCTCTTTTATTCCTATTGAGTAAAAGAAAAAAATATTTATTTTTTGATCATATTTCTTTATTTAATGACAGCAGCAAAAATGGCAACAAAAACAATCAAACTTGGATTCTGGCCAAAATCCAGGTCAGAAAAGCAGCCTTTTCCTTACAGTTACCTTAGAATTAGGTTCCTGTATTCTCTCTGCTCTTTTTATATTTCTGCATCATATTCACCAATTTAAAAATAAATATTTTAGTTTCATACTAAAGAACCACTACTGTCATGGTCTCATTCTTTTTAAACTTCTTTTTCAGTCCCCACATCATTACTATTGACATTAACTTGATTATCTCAGTTTTTATTTCACGATTTTTAAAAAAAATCAGTAACTGAAATTGGCTTGCGCAGAAGGCTGATAACTCTGTCAGAATAACTGGAAGCGTAGAATGGTGTGAGTCCATTTGTGGGTGTTTTGATCACATGTATGTTTTATAACCTGCCATTCATAATAGATCACTTCCTAACCTGACTCTGGCGCTGGCCCTGACTGGTCTCAAAAAGTTACTAGCATAATTACCGGTTGACACATAGACTCATGCCTTGAAATTTAGTAGCCTGAAGGAAAATTTCCAAAGGCATTATAATAAGGAAATTCAATTAAGAGCTTATGTTGACTCAGGAATCTTATGCACAGCATTGATCCAGTGTAGCTAATGAATTCATTATGCTGCAAATGTAAGTGATTTCTGAGTACATTGGCCAATAAGAGTGAAACCTGTCTCAACAGGAATGTTGAAAGAGGCAAGGCAGTGAAACCTTCCTCTCCACTGGGAATGAACTAACTTGCCAAATCCGGACCATCAATCATAGTAAATGTGTTCAAAACAAATCATACATCCTCCACAGTTCATTGTATTCATCAGCACTTTGGAGGTCAACCGTCCAGAGTAGTCACTTTTGGCCAAGTTTTCAATAGCCTGTGGTTTGGGCAATGTGCCTGGCTGTCTTTCTCAAGGATGTGTTCTCAGGTAGTTGTACTCTGTGGGCCGGTTTCAACCAAATCTGAAAGGACAAAAGGTCAGTCTTGTTTATAAAGGATGACATTATCTTAACTCTTCAAAATTGTTGTCTTAAAAGTCAAATCATTGCCTAAAAAGTCTTTTGGAATTACTTCAGGCATGATTGCATGATTAGAAGACTTGATTGCTTGATTTGAAATTTCCTACTCAGGCACTGTGCATCATATAGGCAAAAAGTACAGTGTCACTCATGTGAGCCTGTGTGTACAAGTAGCATGTGTCCATGGGGGCGGGGGGAAGGTGGAAAAGAATTCCCCAATAGGAAATAATTGAATCATATGTTGTCATGTTCTGATTGCCTTTTTATTAAAAAACATTTCACTTGGAAATACTTTAATATATACTAGAAAACTGCATGAATAGTGTGAAGGACACATACACATTCCTCACCCAACATTCTGCCCCTTTCTCTTTTGGCACCCACATACACACTCACACACTCACATGTATACATGCACATAGACATATACATACATTATTTTTTTCTCTGATGTACCTGAGTGAAATCTGTGTGAATCATGGCCTTCTATCCCCAAACTCTTTAGTGTATACCTCCCAAGAAGGAGGATACTTTCCTATGTAACTCTAATATAGTCTCAAACATTTGATTGTCTTTGAATTTTATAGCATGAATTATTTATAACATTTTACCTCAAGCTTTAACACAGACATTGAATCATGGAAGGAACAGGTCAACTATTAGTTGAGGAACAGCTCAAATATCTAGGGGGAAAATGTCATATTACTAGTATTTTAAATTTGGCAAAGGTACATGGTATACCAATATATGGGAACTAACTAAATGCTGGTTTTAGGAATCTATGTCATGCCTGAAAGGTTTACCAAGTGACATTTCATAGCCATATTTAGACTTTTAGATTCCCCTTAATATATTTCTCTTTAATGATACACTTATCTCTGGCATTATAGTTAGCTAGCATTTATTAGGATGCCACATTTATTTGTCTCTTTGTGTTTTGGAACTTGTTTTTCTTCTTGTGATAATATAATTCCAGTTTTAAAGACTGCAATAGTTTCTGCTTAGACAATGCCATCGACAGTAAGCAGGAGAGAAGTAGAGGGGACACTGGTGATGCTGAATTGGGTCTTAGAGAATGCAGCAGTCCAGTGGGTAATGATTCTGACATGAGGCAACAGCCTTCCCCTTCCTGGAGCAGATAGTGGAGCCCCTCTTCCCAATACTTAAAACTTTGTTATATAGGTTTGTTATATCTTAGATAACAAATATACAGATGTTCACTGTTATGAGCAAATAGAATTGAAATTTATGTTTCATAATCTATGTCACTAAATTTGACAGCTTGCATTTATGACAGTTGCCATTTTTCCCCCGTAAGGGAGCTTGAGCATGACATTCTTCTCCACCCAAGTATATGTAACCATCCTTCTGTGCATTGGGGAATCCAAATGAGACAGCCAGTGCTTCAGGGATTCATAATGGGCAGAAATATTCTTTGTAGGAGGAAGGTATAATGTTGGAACAATTTGTAAAAGTTGAGTGTGTCCCTGATAACTGCAGTGGACAACGTAGAGACATAGTCCTATAAAGTCACCTCCCTGGCTGACTCATTGACATTGTCCACACAGAGAGCGTGTCAAGTACATACAAATAACAAGTTTACTACTCTAGGTAAACTCTTCATTTATCCAGTGGACAGATTTATATGGAGAATCACTCTTTGAGGAGCTAGGGATTTGGCAATAAATAAGATAGTCATGTTCTATAACCTCAGAGAGCTTACACATAAACAGTTTTGCTTTAAAATATTGTACCTTGAGAAATATTTCTGCTCTGGTAATATGACCACAATATGTCATTCAATAAACCTTTCAGGCATAACTTGAATCCATCAGAGTTTAGCCTGAAAGCTGTCACATTTGTAGGGGGAGAGAACAGTGGCTTTAGATGGCAAAGCATGGAAAGTGATAAGTTCAAAGAGCTCCTCTGAGAGCTGGGGGTGTGACTCACTGGTACAGCACTTGCTTGCTGTGCCCAATGCCCTAGGTTCAATCCCCAGCACTGACAAGACCACAAAACAAACAACAGAAAGGAAAAAAAAAAAACACCAAACCCTCCAGCTCTTCAGTTTTTTGAAAGACTTAACAAGAACAGTATACTCAAAAGACTGAGTATCTAAGTAAAAAGAAAATTTTAAACTTCCTTATGTTCAAATGTATAAAATGTATGAGTGAGAAAGGGGGTTTTGGAGAAGGAGAACTACCTAGCAGTGAAGACAAAATGTTTTTCTTCTTTAAGACAAGGAGAATTTGGTTCATCAAAATGGCTTCCAGGCTGGAATAAGTTCCAAGTAAGGCCAGAAAGACAAATCTCTGAAGCCTACAGGAAATCCCAAGGTGGTTCTTGTAGGATTTTGTTTGGCAGATTTTTCTAAAAATGATTTTCTGATCATTCTGGAGCAAGTGGTTAACTAGCAATTTTTTAATCCTGTAAGCTAAAAATCCAGTCATCCAATATCCAAATCTCAGCCTGGCCTATGTGAACATATTTATTGTTAAAACTAAGCTATGGCCCTAAACCATGAGGGAATTGGAGTTTTATAATTCGTAATTGTATTACTGGAATTGCATTTAGTTGTGAATACAAATATTTAAGTAGAAATGGCTTTAATAATATTTCTCTTTCATGTTAAATTGAAAAGTAAGCAGTCCAGAGCTAGTGTGGACACGTTATTCCATAAAGTCTTCAAGAACACACACTCTTTCCATTTTGTTGATTTCTTAGATGTGAACTCTGTACCTAAATTATAATCACAATCTAATGTGGCTACTCTAGCTCCAGTCATCAAATTCATATTCAAACCAGTTGGAAAGAGAAAGGAAAAAAAGTATATGACAAGTATCTTTTAAAAAAAAGTTCCTGGAATCCTCACATAATGGTTCTACTATCAACTCATTCACTAGAACTTAGTTATATGGCAACACTTGGCCATAAAGGTGTCTGAATGTTTGCTCTATCTGGGACACTCATGCTTAGGAGAAAATTGAGATTCCAATACAACTAATGAAGAAAGCACCAGTAGTAAAGGACAGCTAACAGTCTTTGTCATACTATAGTTATTAATAATGCTGCATGTATTTTAAATATTTCATACCCATCTTTAGCACTCTGTTTGCAGCATAATTTATAGGATGATCTTTTACCACATGAGATTAGCAGCTGCAGTGTTCAAGAAGTGTGTTCATTTCTGTTAGACTCTTTTTTTTAACTACCCTGGGCAAAGGTTTAAAGATGAAATGTGTGAGGCTTATTAATTTTAATGGCACATGACAACCTCAAAGCTTGCATGTCTACCTGGAATTAGGAAAGGAGAAACCAGTAGCACAAAATAATAGTAGCCTGAGTTCTTGAAACTGATGCTCTTTATGTTCTTATTAGCTCATACCCTCATCTAAATTTGAATCATAGGTACATTTTGACCTTACTGAAGAGAAAGTCCTAACATCTCACATGAGAATTATGGTGCTTATTCTGATAAGATGGTGCTGCTGCAAGCATGCCAAAATTTAATAGCTACAAATAGGGAGATCTGAAAGGAGAGAGGCAGGGTGGTAATTTCTTTTGCCTCTACTACAGTGTCTTAGATTAAGACGTAGTTAGCTTTTTGCTGACATGAGGCAGGCGTGCTCCTTACTAGGGAGGGTGAGCAATCACAGAGCTGACTTAATTTCCAACAGTGTTTATAGGAGCACCCAAACATGATGTAGCAAAATGTTCCTAAAAGTCTGAAGTCATTTCATTTTTTCCGTCATTATGAGAAATTAAAGCCCAGCACAATTACATCCAGTAGTAAAAAGAACCCATTAAATGGCCATTGTTATTGAGTGAATGAAGTGAGCTTTTGGATTACTTTGACCAGCCATGTTTTAATTTTTGTCTGTCCATTTATTCAAAGCACATTAGAGGGCTTTAACTGATTTTTACAAAATAAGCCATGCTGTTAAGGTGCAGTTTAACCTGAGACACAAAAGTTTAATTTCTGGAGTTTCCAAAAGGGTATATCTTCTAGATATACCCTTTTACTAAATTTAAGAATGTAATTATTAGGAATTCTTTGTTTCTTGTGTGCATTGGAGATCCAAGATTAAAGGAAAGATTTAAATTTAGAGATCTGACTTATTTCCTACCAAGAGTCTCTCTATAGACAGACATCTCTGTTGATTTTTTTTTCAGAAGGGGACTTAACTTCCTGATTCAGGGACTAAGAGAGCTGCCCTCATGGAGGAAAGCACTGGCAAGGCGTAGTAGTAGACTTCCAAGCAGGGTAGCCTTGGGCAGCTAAATGATAGACAATGAACTCTCCCATAAATAGTGTATCCGTAAGATTTAGCATCCAAACCAGGACACTTTAAAGTGAAATGCAATGGTATTGCTAACTATGCTACAATAACAGATTTAACCTGGTAAGCTCCAGGCCAACTGGGAGGTGTGCACCCCCTACCCATAAAGTACAGAGGCAGTAGATATTAAAACAAGTAAATGTGCCTGGAGAATCAAAGCATTAGTGGATCATCAGGAGAGAACAATAGGTGATAAGAGTTATCCTACCAGTGATTCTTCTCCCCTGGCATGAAAGTTACTCTGGTCATATGAAATCCCTGAGTATGAAATTTAAAAGTCCCTTGGTCATATTCATATCCATTTAAAAGTCCAGTTATTGATGCTCAGATGCAGGAGAAGATACAGAAACATTATAGAAAGGTAGTCTTCATAAGGGAAGATGCTGCATATGTTTTCTGTTCAGTTCAATTGAACAAACATTTATAGAATACCTAGTGTGTGACAGTAAGGATTTAGCACCAGAATTTGATATGGTCCCAACCCTGGAGAAATTCATTCTAGTCTTAAACAAATCATTGCAACAGATTTTTTACAGATTTAGTAACTTAAAGAATTAACTTCTGCTTTAACTATCAATGCATTGAACATATTTGCCAGTCTCT